ACACTTTCAGTTAGATTTCGCACTAACTTCATTAGGGTGGGAGTCCGTTGGAAAATTTTGATAGTTCGAAAGTTTCATGGGGCAATCTAAAATTCTTGGTAGGCTAGTAACAAAGATTAGTTAGTTGATGGTAAAAAACCCATTTTTTCTGGACGTTTAACTTGTGCAATATAACCTTATTACAAAATCTCAGCCACTTCATTGAATAGCATCACAGAAGATTCGTTTCGCAGATGATTTCCCTGAGATAATTAATAACACGTGTGTAGATATTGTGATCGCTACTTCGCTCAAGAAAGTGAATAACAGAAACTATTATAAAAGCTGCTCTCTCTCTCTCTCTCTCAGTTTCCTCAAGAAAGTGATCAATAAGAAACTATTATCAAAACTGCTCTCTACCTCACTCTCCCCCACCCTCCCTCTCTAACTCAGTTTTTTCTGGACAAAATTAGTTGTAGCATTTGAACGATACAAGTACAAACACACACACACAAGTACGAACAAACAAACAAATGCTTGTCTGAATGACTAGAAGCACCACACATCAGGTTGCCATCTTCTACATGTGATTTTCGAGGCTTCCTGGTGCGATACATATAATGCATATGTTTAATCATGCAATTTTCTTCTCCTTAATTTAGGAGCAAAGACTATAATCTGGTCTTACATCTCGAACCTACATTAGGTATTCGATTTAATCATATTCCTGTTATGACTCTCTCATTGGGTGCTGCTACCTTTTGAGTGTTACATTTTGCCATCTCCCGTAATATCAGGATCCAGGCACAAGATGTGATCCCAACAACATGTTAAATAAGCAAATATCATTGGAGACCTGGAGATAATAACCCACAAAATTTTTTTGAGAGACACCCGAAACCGAGCTCAGATCTATTAACCAAATCCAAATCATACTCTTATAATACGCCAACCGTAACCATTTAAGATACGAAGTTAATAACCGATTGGATAATGAAAGTATTGAAAGTAAGAAGTAGGTTATAGAAGTAACTTTTAAAACTATAAAGTAAAAAGTAGCGTAAATAGCATTTTTTTAATTTGTTTCATATATTTTTAGAAGTAATGGAAGTATAAATTCTACCTCTTCATTCATTTTTTTTTGTGGATAATATTTGAAAATGTTACTAGGATGTAACTAAAACATGTTGCTTCCATTCTATTTTTGTTAGAATAATATTTGAAAATATTATTAGGAAGTAATTAATTTTGAGAACCAATTCTTTCTTGTGGACCCCATCTTACATTAACTTCCGCCGTATTTCAGTGCATTCGAAGGCAGAAAAATATTAATGAAATAGAGGTGCTAGCTAGATGTCACATCAGCTTTTAAAGAAATAGCGAAAGTAGTTTTTAGAGAGAAACAAACATAATTTTTTATATAAAAGTAACAAAAATGACCTCTACTTCATCTACTTTGTCTACTTCATAGCTATTTTCGTGCAAACAAACAGGCCCTAAAGGAAAGCATCAGACACGCCAATAATCAAATCAAGACCGCATCCTAGTCAACACAAAATCGCAAGCAAAGACTTTATTTGGGATCCTGATTCATCAATTGTGATACAAACAAACCTCAAAAATAGTGAAATTTACCATGTCACAGCGGAGGGAAGATTTTCCCCTTTTCTCAAAAAAAAAAAAAACAAGAGAAAAAAGAAGAAGCGCTGTCTTTGCCCATCTTCGAGCTCTAATGGAACGCTAAATTTTAAATTTGGGGAGCTTCAGTTCGTTAAGATGGCAAATGGTGGGGCTATCGCGACGTGGCAATTTTCTAGACTTTAATTTAGACTTACTTGGCACGTGGCTGAACCTGAAGACATCAGTTAAGAGGTTTACGTAAAACACCCTTCACAAAAATAAAATTGCAAATCAACCCAACAGAACTGAGTTTGGGTAATCCCCTGATGATAATGATTGATGATGATCCTTTCATTGTGCTCTCTTTCGGTGGGAAGAATATAGAGTTGAGAGATCAATGTGCGCTAGCTGTATTTGAATAGTGGAGTCTATTATAATGGTTGACGATGCAGTTAAAATTTAAAATTTGGAATTTTAATTGAATATTACTTAGAAATAAAATTTGGAATAATTAGTTTGTGATTTAACCCTGCACTATCTGCGTCAAAATCGCGGTTTCGGAATTTCATAAAACTGATTAACTTTCGCTCCTTGACGTGTGATTTAGAACTCATCCATATCATTAGAAAAATTTTCCCCTAAATAGTTCATGTATGTGCACCGCATCTATGTATGAAATTAATTTTTAATATAAAATATTTGATTTTTAAATTCGTATTGATGGCATTCGTATTGATGGCATTCCCATCTCACAAGCAAGTAGCTTCCTCTAAACCAACCCCGGATGTAAACCGATAATGTAACGACCGTCACTATCTACTCTGGCGCCGTTCTTGGAGAAATATCTGCATTTGATACCATCCTGTGCCGGGGTCAACTCTCAATCCATCTTCCTGGGGACTGAAGTTGCTTTAAGGAAAGTAAGGGAACAATCACGCGGTAGAGGAGGCGTGAATAAATGTCGCCCACCCACGGTCCTGAGCCATCGATATTCCCTAATATCCAACACATCGGGATCTTCTATAGGATCGCCGAACAGAAAAGAAGGTTTTGAAATGTGGCTTCGATCAGCTGTTTCTAAAGAAGCGTCTGTGATCAAACGCCTTAATATGACACTTGAGGGCTCAGAGAGTAGGTGGAATTCTTCCGGACTTCAATCTTGGAATATGGGAAGGTTCTCGAGCATGGGATAATGAGGATGGTATGTTCCTGTCTGAGTGTTATTCGATCCGATGTCACCATGCGGAGGAATCAGAGCAGAAGAATGTAAAACTGCAAATGGACAAGTGGAGTTAGCCCAAACAAGCCAAATAGGATAAACCTTGGCCAAAAGACAAGCTTCGTCCAAACAATGATACAAGCCTCATCAGACAGATGAACTTGTCTGATAGTTGAATCCCGTCCATCAAGACAAACCTCGTCAAACAAACGAATTTCATCCAACAGGCGAGCCTCGTCAGAAAAGATGAGACTCATCGGATCGACGAGCCTCGCCTAATAGACAAACCTTGTCTACCGCATGAACTTCGTCTCAAAAGGAAAAACTGTTCATCTCCCTCGAAGACTCAAGCCCGGAATAGGTAGAGTTCAACAGTTCTAAAACGCAAAGTTTGCATTCGATTGCAATACCTGAGAAAACAGGCAAGGCAGTGGTTTCACTTGAAGAACTAGCGGCTTTCTTGCCCCTCCCTTTGCCAGCGACAGTTTTTGGGGCCATGGATCTGAAATCATGAAGAAGACACAGAGTAAAAATCGGAGGCAAAAAGTTCGGTGCAGGCGAAGCGCCTAAGCTTTTAAAACTTGAAGAAGATGATGATTTCGTCGAAGGCGGCCACCTATGTTGGGATTGTGTCTTTGATTCTTTGTATAACTTCATGAGAATTAGATATGATTAGAGATCTATCATGATTAGGAGTTTGGGTTCTATCATGATTAGAAGTTTGAATCTTATTCTAATTAGGAAGTTAGGCTAGGGATAGTATTTTGATTTTCCTATATATATTATTCTATTGTTGGAGAAAAAAGCAGAGAGGGTTAGGCAGTCTTTGTCCGTGCAAAAGATTATACTTTGGAGGTGATAGTGGATTGATTTTAATCCCGTGATTTTTCCTTGTTGAGGGGTTTCACATTAAATCTTGTGTGATTCTATTTGCTGCGTTTGGTGATTTTTTAGGGTTTTTATCAGATCTAAAAATCCCTACAAGTGGTATCAGAGCGGGGTTCGAAGATTCGTGGAGATTTGGCCAGTGCACGATTGGTGAAGGCGTCAGCGGTTGAAGCGTGGCGATTGACATCGGGGGAAACAAAAAAAATTGTAGCAGGAAACACTGTAGCGCTTGTAGGAACACTGTTCACGCGGATTTTGGTGATCCATGAGTTGTTTCTAGGGTTTATCGACGTGCTGAGTTCATTTTTAACATTGGTTTTATCAAATTAATCTCTACAGTGACTGGTTTGAATTTTGATTATGGTTAGAGGATGATGACTTCTTCGAGTCTGAAGTTCGATATTCCGCTATTCAACGGCAAGACAAATTTTGCAGTATGACAGTGTACGGTTTAAGATATTCTTGTGCAGCAGGGTGTTGATCAAGCTTTGAAGGAGAAGAAACCTGAAGGATTGAAGGACGCTAAACGGAGTTCCATGCAAAAGAGGGCGGTTAGCACAATTCATTTGGCACTCGCCCCCCGAGATCAAGTACAATTTTATACAAGAGACCACACCAAGGGGGCTGTGCGAAAGGCTCGAGGGGATTTATGCATCGAAGTCAATGACCAACCGATTGTGTTTGAGGATGGAGCTTTATTCGTTAAAGATGGAAGAAGATACTGCAATTCAAGATCACATTAATGCCTTTAATCAGCTAGTTTGCCAACTTATGAATATTAATGAGGAGATTAAGGAAGAAGAGCAGACGCTACTCCTATTGTATTCCTTGCCAAAATCGTACAAGCCGTTAGTTCAGACAATAATAATAGGGAAGCAGACTTTAAAGTTCGATGATGTGACAACACTCCTTCATAAGAATGAAAGAATGATGGGAAAGGAGAGCGCATCTAATGGTGGTGAGAGTGCACTAGATTTTTGTCACGCCCCGCTTCCCAAAATACTGGGGAATCGGGACGTGAACAAGCCCGCGACGTATTAGATTGAGAAGAAATATACACTACTATTTTTTTTCTTTCTTCTTTTCTTTTCTTCTCAATCCAATACGCTAAGCGTCTAGAATTAAATACAATACGAAGTCACAAGTCCCCAATCACAATTAGCAAGAATATAATGACAACCCAGAATAATGAAAAGACATATCATCAATAATAATCATTCTAGACATAAAATATGGGTCCAACATACCCTTATTACAAAACAATCCAACTAGGAAATAAGAATACATAGTCCATAAAGAAAATAATGTTAAAATACTAAATCCATCATCAACTAAAAAAAAAAGTATGGTAAAAGAGTTTTAATGTCCATCAGCTAATACAGAAGAAAACTACTACGCTTCAGCTTGTTCTTCTACTTCACCTGCAAGGCGCTCCTACTGAGAATCATCTGGTTTCTACACGATTCCGAACTGAGGCTATCCGTCTTCTAAATCTGACGTACACTCAGAAAATAGGAGTACGTCAGCGTGTATACACAAGGCAAGATCCCCCAAGACAGGAACAAATACAATAACGGTAATAATATATGTGTGGTCAATGCGATAACATAAATAAAAATAGAACATGTGATGATAGTAATAACGATAGAGGCGTGCAACTGGAATACTAATAATCAGATGAATCCAAAAATCAACCAAGTAACAAGATCATGCAGGTAGCGATCAGAAACCATTCAAGCAACAAGATCATACAATAGATGGAATTAATATTTAAAAATCTACAACAAGAGACGTAGTATGTCGAGCGAAATAATCCAAACAAGGAAACCCTCATGTATATACCATATGTCTCAAATTGTAGATAATTAAATATTGACCACGATCAATGTATGAAAAGAAATATAACTAGTTATCATCTCACAAGAATCCATAATCATCTAAATAATAATGTCATGTAACTAGCCATCCTATAACAAGCCACTGGTCCAAATCTCACTTCTGCGTGCAATGATATCTCTGCTCCTCAGACCCACCCCAGAGTGAAACGATCCACTGGTGCGAGCATGGAAAATATATAAACATCCACATCCGATCACATGAACCAAGAATTCTTCATCCCAACTCTTCTCGCTTTTCTAAGTCGACAATCATAATCCACACTATAACTCGGGTTCACCACCTAAACTCAGTCAACACACCCACACGTGTCATTAGGTTTGTTCATGACACACAATGCCACTAAGTCATGAACTACTAAGGTTCTCAAACACAACAAGGCGATATTAATATCATTAATTTCACGCAACCACATCATGACATGTCGAATATAGTAAAATATTCACAAACATGAATGTAATCATGAACAACAACTATGTAATTCAGAAAATAATTCATTTTTCAAAATAATTTCTTTTAAAATTATTTCTCATTATTGTAGGCTGTCTAAAAATCACAATAGATAGTTGATCCCCCATCAAACACTGATGATGGAAGTTACAATCTGACGACTTCCAGAAGGCTACAATCTGACGACTTCACGACAACTGATGAAAGCTCTAATTCAACAGCATTCACAATCAACATCGGGAGTTACAATCTGACGACTCTCATATTTTCAAAGAGCCAAGACAAAGATTACAAGAGGACGATTTGTGCAAAGCTCTAGCAAAAGAGACTACAAATTGACGGTCTCTTCATATTAAAACGCATATATCTCTCAAACCGTAAGGAATTTGGTAAAACGGAGGAAGCGAACCGAAGCCTTCGGCTGGGTTCGGATGGATCCGCCTCGTCGAGATAGCCGATTTTTATATATAATTCGTCTAATTCCGACTTACGGTTTGAAAGTTATGACCTGTTCTTCGTAGCAAGTTATGTTCTGAGGTCCGTCTGCAAGACTGGACTTCGTCAGAACATTGGACTTAGCCTGAAGCTCGCCAAGCCCGCCTAAGGTTTGCCTCTGCATTACAGAGTCAAAGCGCACAGGTCGAACCAGCGTTATAACCTCAAAATGCAGAGCTAATCTCTAAAACAGCACGAACTGTGCGTTTTCAGCCTAAAACAGGCTTAACTCTGCGTTTTCAACATCAAAACGCAGAGTTAATCTCTAAAACAGCACGAACTGTGCGTTTTCAGCCTAAAACAGGCTTAACTCTGCGTTTTCAACATCAAAACGCAGAGTTAATCTCTAAAACAGCACGAACTGTGCGTTTTCAGCCTAGAACAGGCTTAACTCTGCGTTTTCAACATCAAAACGCAGAGTTAATCTCTAAAACAGCACAACTGTGCGTTTTCAGCCTTTAAACAGGCTCAACTCTGCGTTTTCAGTCTAGAAACGCAGAGTTAATCTCTAAAACAGCACAAACTGTGCGTTTTCACCCTAGAAAAAGCTTAACTCTATGTTTTCAACATCAAAACGCAGAGTTAATCTCTAAAACAGCACAACTGTGCGTTTTCAGCCTTTAAACAGGCCCAACTCTGCGTTTTTAGCCTAAAACGCAGAGTTCATCTCTAAAACGCATGCGGCCTGTGCGTTTCGACTCCCAGCGAGCGCCCAACTCTGCGTCTCATCTTTAAGACGCAGAGTTAAGGTCCGAACGCAAGCGGCCCTTGCGTTTTCAACTCCCAACAAGCGCCCAACTCTGCGTCTCATCAATAAGACGCAGAGTTAAGGCCCAGAACGCTGTTTTCAGCGTTTTGACTCGTTCAAAGCACGTTCCAGTGAATCAAGATGTTCGGATCGTCAACGAGAAGCAAACTCGACGCGAGCATTCGAGGGAGGCATCTCATCGCCACCGTGAAGAACCCAGAATTAAACAAAGGGGAGAATCAAATTCATTCTCCTCTCTTTTGTAATCGGAATCCAAATTGTAATCGATTTTGAGAGAATACAAGTCAAATTTTCTTTCATTGTCTTTTTACTGCAAATTTCCAACAAACAATTATAATAATCCAAAATATTCTCTTTTCCAGAATAAATTCTTTAAAATTATTTCTCATCACTTATTATTCTAAAATAATTCTTTTTCTCAAAAATAAATTCTTTTTAAATATTATAAATTCTCTAAATGATTCCGTTATCAAAATAAATTCTTTCACTTCATTATCATTATTCTAAAAATACTATTTATCACACAACTATGATTTAATCAATATTATTCAGCAAATAACCCACGCAGATAATTATATTACAACTAATCTACACATATAAATAATAATTATTGAAATAACAAGGAGAGACGGGATCTTGCCTCGGCGCGTCGAGTAAGTCAGCGTTATCGAGCGAGGCTACGGGTCGGATCCGACGCGGCAAGGCGTCAGGAAGGCTCCGGCGAGGGACTGTCCGATTCGATGCTGGAGACCGGCTGGCGGCGGCTAGGAGGACTGAGGAGGCGCTGTCGAGCGACGGCGTGAGAGCAGTGAAGGCTGTTGTGCGTCGGGGATTGAAGAGGAGGAGGAGCTGGATGGTTGAAGCCAGGGCGTGATGATGGAGGCGGAGGTGCTGTGTGGTGATCAAAGAGGCGGGGGTTGGGGTGGACGCGCTGCTGGTGAGGGGGTGGCGCGCTGCGTCGACGATGTGGCTGGCCGGAGGGATCTCGGTGTGGGGCGAGCGGCCTGTGGCTGGGGTGTTGGCGACATAGGGAAAGGAGGAGGTGGCGCTAGGAGATGGAGGTCGGCAAGAGCTGGGGGATCTAGTCGTCGGAGTTCGTCGGAGGGGCGGTGGTCGTGCTGTCGAGAATCAGGGCGGCGAAAGTGGGTCGGTGGCACGGTGTTGAGGGGCTGCGAAGGTGGCTGAGGGCGGCTTGGAGCGGGGTGAGGCTGAGCGGGGTGAGTTGGGCTGGTGCTGGCGGTTGTCGGGTGGTTGAGGGAGGTGATAGGTTTGAGGAAGAGAGAAACAAGAGAGATGAAGAGGAGAGAGGAGAGAGAGAGAGAACAAGATGAGGGCGGCGGGAAGAAGAGATGACAGAGGAAAAAAAGAGAGGAGAAAACATTTAAATATATATAAAGAATTTTAAGGTTAGGGTTTAGGTATTTAACTAAAATAATTAAAATAATTAATTACAAGTATTTGAAAATTAAACTAATTACAGAATAATTATCTACAATTAAAAACGTACAAGTTGTATTAATACAACAGTTGATAGGAAATAGTCGAAATATACACATATTGTACAATTAAACGAGAATAATTAATAATAAAAATATATTTACTTATATTTAAAATCAAATAATTAAGGGATAATTATCCACATAGAAAAACGTACTAGTTATACTAATACGATAGATAATATGTAACAGTTAAAATAATACAATAAATTATACCAAAAATACGTAATTAATAATACAAAGTATTATACGAAGTAATACGTAATAATATTAATAATACAACATATTATTTAAAATAATACGTAATAGTACTAATAACGTAACAAATTAATTCTAGAAAATTTTACTGCACAAAATAAATTTATAAATATCAAAATCATTTAAATAAATATATAATTAGATTTTTAAATCATAGAAAATTATAGAAAATCGAGAAAAATACACATACCATTGTAAAAATAATAATTAAATATTTTAAAATACTAAAAAATTATTTTAACTAGTATCAAAATTCATGGTCCTTATAATTTTGAAGGTTCTAATCGAGGGAGGAGAAAAAGGAGATGTGACAATTATCGAGGAAGGTCAAAATCTCGGGCTCGAGACGACAATGAAAAGGAGTGCTATTATTGCGGAGAGAAGGGTCACATTCAGTTCAGATGTTCCAAGATGCGAGATAATTTGAAGAGTATTAGAGAGATAAAGCTTCAAGAAAATAGGAATAAGGCGGACTCCTCGGTGGTTGTGTGTGATGAAGATGTAGTATTGATGATGCAAAGTATAGGTACTATACTGATGCGAGTAACACTTGTGTGTTAGATTCTGCATTCTCTATACACGTTTGCAACAACAAAAATTATTTTGACACATTGAAGATAGATGAAGAATTTGACGATGTGATTGTTGGAAATAACGAGAAGATGACGGTTGAAGGTGTTGGAAGTGTTCGCCTCAAGCTTCACACTAGAAAGGTCAGAATTCTTCGTCATGTGAGATATGTGTCATCATGTAGTGCTAATTTAATTTCGTCAGGTGAGATGGCATCGCGTGGGTATGAGTTTGGAGATGAATGTGAGCAGTGCAAAGAGTATAAAGATTGTGATTTGATTTTACGAGGGAGGAAGAATAGCAACCATACTTGCTATTTAGAGGGACAATTCGTTAATGGTGTAGATTACTCTTCTTAGACTCTTGCCCACAAGGGAGAGGTGAAGAACAAGATGAAGTGGGTAAGTTTTTCTGAAGACGTCGAGACACTTGAATATTTTTCATTGAGGTGGAGGCGCCACAGCGAGATAGATGAAAGTGCGAAAGAAATAGAAGACTCTAGCGGGAGAGGCAAAGTTTCAAGATAGCGATGATATATCTTCAAGGGATTTTGAGAATTAAATCTAAGGTGGAGATTGTTGGGATTGTGTCTTTGATTCTTTGTATAACTTCATAAGAATTAGATAGAGTTATAGATCTATAATGATTAGGAGTTTGAGTTTCATCATGATTAGGAGTTTGAATCTTATTCTAATTAGGAAGTTGGGCTATAGATAATGTTTTACTTTTCTTATATATATTCTTCTATTGTTGGAGAAAAAATATAGAGGGGGGGGGGGGGGGGGGGGACCA